GGTTCAACACGGGAACAAGCAGGCTCTGGTTTATGCAGAGGAAGGAACAGGGTGGGGAAGTAAGTGCCAACCCTGGTTTCTGCACACGCTGTGGTCCGAGCACGAGACGGGGCAGGCAGGGCTAGTAATTGTTGACCCTAGTGCAACAGAGGCTGCGAAATTCGAGCACGCACGGAGCAGACCCACAGTCCATTCTAAACGCATGGAGGGATAGAGTGAACAACTTTGCCTTTGGGTCGCAGCACCTCCAGCCGGTTGTGGTGGACCTGCAGGATGAGCTACAATCGGAGATTGACTGGTTGTAGGTGGTGTGGAAGAAGCACAAAAGAATAATAAGTCTGTTCGGGTGTGCCTGTAAGTCTAGATTCCGTACACAACAAGTCCGAGAGTATACAGCGAGTGACCATTGATATACATGACTGAAACATCGTCGAACGCCACCAGCCTGCTGTAGCACCGACGTGTATGGGTTCCGCTGCTACAGGACTTCCCCAGCAGGGGGGCAGGCAATTCCACTTTTGAGCCAGGTAGCAGCATATCTATACTGTTAGGGTTGGCTGCTTCCATTTATATCTTCTTTGTTGCGGCAGTTGTTCTTGTTCCACCTGAAGGTTCGTTCTTCACTGAAGGGCTGGTGCTGCTGGTTCTGAGTGGGTTCTGTGGTGGTAATGGTGCTGCGAAGGCATTTTCCAGGTGGCAGTGGTGGTGTGAAGGCTGGCAGGGCTGGGCATAGTAGTAAAAGGATGGGCGCCACATCCGGCCACGTCAAATGTGACTCAGACGGGGTAGTTTTGGTGAAGAACACTCTGCAGGCTTGCTGAATTAATGTTTTCGTACGTGGTTGTTTTACACTCGGTAGTGATTATTCGCTTCATGTGTGGTAGTGGTTGAGAGTGCACGAGAGACTCGTCTTCTCGGTAATGGTGCTTGTGATTTGCAGCACCCTCTCTTTGAGTCCCATACCCAAGTCTAAGTCCTCGGTCCCAGTCCTAAGTCCTAGTCCTAATCCCTAGCCCTAAGTCATAGTCCTAAGTCTTAGTTCCGAGTTCCAATCTGAAGTGCAAGGTCCCTGTTGCGATTCTCATCCCTAATCCCAACTCCCAGGTCCCATTCCCGAGTTCCAGTCCTGAGTCTCAGGTCACAGTCCTGAGTCTCAGGTCACAGTCCTGAGTCCCAAGTCTGAAGTTCAAGTGCCAAACGATGCACCTATGCAAGACCTGAGTCCCAGATCACAGTCCCAACTCCCTCGTCGAGGCACCAATCCCAAATCCTAAATCCCATGTCCCTGGTCCCAGTCCCAAGAACGAGATGCTAGTCCCATGTTCCAATCCCAGGATGAAGGTCCCCAGTCCTGAGTTCCAGTTCCTAGTCCCAGGTCCCAGGTCGCAGTCCCAAGCTGTGAGTCTGAAATCCAAGTCCGGAGTCCCAAGTAAGAGTGCCAAACCATGCGCCTCTACAAGACCCGAGTCCGTAATCACAGTCCCAGGTCCCAGGTCCTTCCTCGCAGTCCCAAGTCTCGCGTCCCAGTTCCTAGTATGAGGTCGTTGAAGGGAGTCCTGGACTACGACTTAATGTTGCACATAGAGTCAAAGCAGGTGTGAGGACCACCACGCTATGTTGAAGATAATGTCAAACTAGATAGAGGCTTTGAATATCATATTGATGCCTTATTGAACATGCAACTATGTTTGCCAATGCCTTATTGAACATTAATGAGAACGTCCACAACGCTATATTGAAAACAATCTCAAACACACACACACCACAATCTCTCTCCCTCTCTATCTCTCTCACACACACACACACACACACACACAAACGAAACTGCAGTAAGCACAAGGAGTAAGCGGTAGAACCACAGTAAAACTAAAAATAACAAGCGAACAACACCTCTGAGCCATGCCTCAAGTAGGGACATTGGAAAAAAAGTTCTTGTATGAAATTGAACAACAGAAACAAGGAATTAGAAGAAGTGAAAATGACACGAGGAGAAACGGAAACTACACCAAAACGAGCTCCCCAGACTGTCCCCACTGAATTTTCGAGGTCATATTGACATTCCCAGTCCCAACACAGGCCTCAAGCACAGACACAGGCATGAGGATGAGGATGAAGAGAAAAATAGGATAATCACTGAAAATTTATTATAATAAGCATGAATAAAACGGGACCCTTCCTCGTTCCACTTCATTGGCACCCTCCTGCCCCTCCACCATTGCCATCTTCCCCATATTCGTCCGTCAACCCCGAGTGCCAATCCAGAGTCCTTAATCCACAATCCCGAGTCCAACCCCGGACTCACAGTTCCAACGTCCCGATCCCAATCGTAGTCAAACTCCCAAGTCCTGACTCCCAGTCCCAACCCAAGTCCAAAGGTCCTTGCAATTTAGTATCGACCCCCGGGTCCCGCTCCATGTCCCAGGCCCAGAGTCCCCATGTGCCTTTGATTCGCACTTGCGATTCACAAATAGCACGACGCAGCACATCCAAAAGAAAAATAATTAACAACGACCCCCTCAAGAGATGGTGTCTCTACCACACGCAGCCACTGAAGGAAGTGAAGATGCTGCCACAAAGGAGAAAAAGAAAAAACGAAAAATGGTCAAATGGGGTTCGCTGCAGCCATTGGAGCACCCTCAGCAGCCGGTGAAGCATCTACCGCCCCTACAGCACGTGCATCCGTGGATCAGCCGACGACCTCAGAATGCAGATCACCCAACCACCAGCCAGGCACCCTCAGATCACCCTGAACCCTAAAGCCTAATGCCTCAACCGTAAACCATGAATCCTAGACCCTGAAGTGTAAACCGTAAGCACTGAACCCTAAACTCTAAACCCTAAACCCTGAACTGAAACCTAAAACCCAAACCATAAACCCTGAAGTTGAGTTGTAATTGGAATTTATAGCTGAACAAAGGCACGAAGGACGATGCATTACAGGACAATTGAAAAAATTAACATGCATAAAAACATAGCATAAAAGGAAACCATAGCCCAACTGCCAACAATTGAAAAAATAAACATGCATGAAAACTTAGAACAAAACAGACGATAAAACGTCTGAAAGATTGCCTGTAATTGGAAAATCACTCTGAGACTTCATTATGTTCTTCACAATCTGCCTATGTCTGCATTGCTGATTGTCTGTCTGTGCACCCTACAGTTCTCTCATACAACTTTGGGCAAGTACAACAGATGGTTTTCGGAAATAAAAAGGCCAAGCATTTTGCAGTAAACACAGTGGGCACAAAACACAAAGGACATTGCACAGACCTCGGTCAAAGCAGCAATGGTGTCACGATACGACACAACTCAGAAGTCTCAAGGCGCAGGTCTCAGTCCGTAGTCCGAAGCCCCTGTCGTTGCGGGACAACACAGAATGTACGGCACATAAGGACGACGCTTCGGCACAAAAGCTGCACAAACAAGTACGACAAGGTGAAGAAGGAAAGCAGAGAGCAATGATGATAATCAGTCCGGGTAGCAAGGGAGACTGCGAATAACAATGGGGGAAAAAAAAAAACAAAACAGAAAAGGCAAAGAGTAAAGGAAGAATCTCTTGCGGGACACGCGTTAGAAATGAACGCTGACAAGAGCATTGGCATTGCCCTACACAAGGAGGAAACACATAAATCGAGAAATTGTGTCTACGGTTTAGGTTTTAGGTGCAGAAACGAATGAGAGACGGTTTACGGTTCCAGAGCATGGTTTACGGGTTTAGGTTCTTAGGGTTTCAAGGTTTTGGGGCTTAAATTTAGGGTTTAAGGTGTTCATAGAAATGTACTCTTCCTGCCCTCCCCCCTCCCCCGCCCCCAAAACCTTAAGTTGTCCTCTGTTGTCGTTACTCGCTATCTAGTTCTAACTGGTACGACGGTGATTTCACCCCCCTCCCCCCCCCTCCACCTCTCTTTTCCCAGAGAGCCCACAACCCTTGCTCTGGCCATTTGCGTCCCCTCCCCCCTCACCCAAGACCTGTCCCCCTTGCTCCTCCATTTCTTCGTGCCGACTCCCCCGCGGATGTCACACTAACCGACACTCTGGTTCTTCTCGAGGGCCTGTTCGGGTATCGCTGCTGGCTTACTTGATCTGACTGTCGCCGGCCTGCCGTCGAGCCTGCATCCCTCTGTGAGACTGTTGCTGATCTCCCTCTTCGCACCTCTTGGTCCATCACCCCTGCTGGGGTGTCATTGTGTGTGCCCGCCGGTCTATTCCTCTCAACACCCCCCTCCTCCCCAGCAGCCCGTCTCTCTCCTGGCATCTCTTCTCGACCCCTCCCCCACTTCTTCGACTCGCCTGTTCCCTCCTCACCCGGTTCCCCTCCCGATCCCCCCGTTGCTTCCTGTTCCATCCCCTCTGTCCCCAGGTATACCAACGATCTTTCATCTGTCTCAGAGGGCTCCGCCGCTCCAGCCGCTGCATCCTCCACTGTTCCGCTCCCCCCCCTCTTTTCCTCCATTTCCTGTAATTCGGTTGACTCCTCTCCCTCAAATCTTC